GGATAATACTATTTTTGTTATCCAGCTTCTTAGTCCGACGCAGCGCCAAACGTAGGTTAGTACTTAATCCAGCTTAGACCAAGCCAAACCAATCCAAGACAGTGCCAAAATTTATTCCAGTCCATAACAATCCGTCGTACCAAACAAGGCCTGAGGGGTTAAGCTAAATTTATTATTAAAGGATTCAAGTAAATTATTAAGATAATGACTGACAGAACCCGACCCAAATTCCGCTTTGGAATCCGAGCCGAACTCTGTGCGTGTCCTACACCTGGCAGGTGCCGGGCACAAATGACCAAACTGCCCTTCTAATCCAAAACCAAAGAATTTCAAGCTCGACTTCTACCGAAAATTTGGCAGAGTCTTCCTTATAAATTGAACATTTCCCCAAAACTTCCACCTGTCAAACAAGCATGTACAAATACAACCCAATTGCCAACATGTATCAAATTATATAAGAAATCAAAGCATCATATTATTCTGGCCTCAGGCCTCAGTAAATCAAATAAATCATTATGCTAATAAAATTCATCTCAAAGACTCCAACTCGTGGCTGCACCTTGTAACACTAGGCTGCTTACGTACCTTTATTGAGTGATCAAGCCACACGTAGTTCTTCCTAATACTTGTATCAATCATATACTGAATATAAATATGCTAAACACTGAACTCCCTTTAGTTTAGTTAAAGAATATCTCAGAACTGATATTCTCTCCACCTAGGCGTACCCCCATTCCTGATCCGTTAATTCCATTAATACCATCAATTCCCTCATCGCAGGCCGAGCCGCAATCCTTGCAGGTCTCAGAGATACCACTTCCATCAGAGCCGCAAATCCTCGCAGGCCAAGCCGCAATCCTCGTAGGTCTTGGAAGATACTGCTTCTATTAGAGCCGCAAATCCTTGCAGGCCGAGCCGCAACCCTCACAGGCCAAGTCGCAATCCTGGCAGGCCAAGCCACAATCTTCGCAGGTCTCGGAGATACCGCTTCTATTCGAGCCGCAACCTATAAATAACCATCTATTCAACCCGTAACATGATTTAGATAACTCATTTCCGATCAGGACTCGTTTACATGGTCATTCTATCACTTCTCAATGGGTATAACTGCCTCGGAAGACTCACAGTCAACCAAGGGGTCACACTGCCAATACTTGGTCAGCCAGGCTCGCTGGTTCCCCAACCTCCCATCACAATTCCGGGAGTCCCTAACGGTCCCAATATGCCTAGGACACATGTCTCGAGAGTTTGGTCTTAATCAACGGTCAGATTACTCACGATCGCATGATCGAGCAGTTATTGTAAACCTAGACCTAGGGTTGGTATTTCCGGAGTATCCGGGACTCCGTTTTACAATCCTTCGAATCCTATACGATTTTGGAATAACCTAGATCAACATATCTTACTTTGGACCCGATCTAATGCTCCGAGCATATTGAACTCGGATAACGCACAATAGGCGTAAACCCGTTCGATAGCCAAATGACATCCGAACTGAAATCCGAGCATGCCTACGCACTCGTGACAACCAGGAGATCGCATTGGAACACAAAGTACCTACGCTACAGTGTCCACGCGCCGCCACACGAGCCGGCGGTGCGTGGGTGTCCTAAGCGTTACCCTCGATCCAAAAATCTCCAAATCGAGGGCCACCCATCCACCTACAGCTACTACTCAATGAGTGGAACACTTTATTCAACTACCGGAACGTCCAATTCGAACGGCAAGTGGCCGAATTTTCCATCTAAAAATCGGCCAAAATCTGAGTTTCTAAATTGGAAAACCTAACTCAAAATCAATCCAATCCTACCCAACAGGAAGCTAGAGCTCGGAAAATAAGTGAGGAACCATACCTGGATCGAGGAATTCCGTCGCCGGAGCTGTCAGAAACGGTGTCTGAAATTTCGAAGGGAAACCGGTTTTCCCCGGCTCGTGGCGGCAACATGGCGGCCTACTGTGGCGGGCCTTCAGCCCAGAAGCATTCGCCAGACCTTGGTGGTCATTTTCCGACAGGTCTCACGACCTGGCATGGCCGGAGTAGCCCAGGCACCGGCCAAACGTGGCCGGTCTGTTTCGCACGAGGGAGAGGAGAGAGAGAGAGAGAGAGAGAGAGAGGTTTTTTAAAATACAAATTTATAAATAAACCTAATCCTAGACATGTATTTATAAAAAAAACCCAAGCACTATTTAAACATAGAAACACACCCAAAATCAACCCAAAAGTCAACTTTTTGGGTGTGTTTATAAATGAGTTTTGAGTGTGTGTAATGATGAGTTTTGGGTGTGTTTATATGTTTAAATAGTGCTTGGGTTTTTTTATAATTTCAAGCCCCATTTTGGGTGTTTTAGTGAGACTCCCTTTTTAAAATCTGATATGACAAATTACCATTTTGCCCCTTATCGTATCTTAATCGTATTTTCTTCGTTATAACTCCGATTCGAGCTTACTACGTGTCTACGGCATCGTTTCATCGCGCTCTACGCAACGATGCAATCAAAATTCCCAAATTCCTTTCTGGTCAAAAAGTCAACTTTTAGACCATATAAAATATTCCGGGGGTATTCTAGTCCTTTCATTGAATAAAATAATAATTAAGAATTAATTAAGGATCGGGTTGTTACAATGACACTATAGAATAACACTGAGGCACAAATGATTAACATACACTATTATTTGCTTGGATATACATGTAATTAATTCAGTAAATTTATGAACAAATATAATCAAGAATGATGTCTTATTTAATTCTAAATTAAATCTATCCATAATTTCATATTAAGATTATTGATCACACAATCATGTCAATTAATCTTACTTGAAGCATGAATCTAACTAGTATTCTTGAATGAGTGATTTACACTAGACTTGGCAATTGCATTGTGTTTGTAGTACATGTTTGTGTCAATTCACTTTTCTTAACAGGTTGACATGACATAACTTGTTACGTAAACAGATAGAAAATACCAGATACGAACATGATTCGTTAAAATAACAAATGACACGACACGACCCGTTTCAACCATTATGAAGACAAGAAACATAAAAAATAAAATAAAACAGAAAAAAAAATCAAGCAGAGAGTAGTCAGCGGAGGGGAGAAGGAAGAGAAGAAAAAATAAGGATATATAAAATTACAAAAATATCCCTACTTTTAACGGGTATTCGCGAATTCACACGATATGACCTGTTAGCATAAGGGTCCATCCATTTTCAACACAAGCTATTAAGCCCTGACTTGAACATTGATTTTTTTTTTGGTATGAATTTTGTGTCGAATTAACGGATCATCTACAATATTGCCAGGTATAATTTACATTGACACTCCCATAGAATTTTGGTGTTGTCATAAAACCCCCCTTTGTTCAAAAATTGATGATAAGCTTTCTGCAAATGACAATTAACACACGATATGACCTATTAGCATAAGGGTCCATCCATTTTCAACACAAGCTATTAAGCCCTGACTTGAACATTGATTTTTTTTTTGGTATGAATTTTGTGTCGAATTAACGGATCATCTACAATATTGCCAGGTATAATTTACATTGACACTCCCATAGAATTTTGGTGTTGTCATAAAACCCCCCTTTGTTCAAAAATTAATGATAAGCTTTCTGCAAATGACAATTAATTTCAAAAATTAGATAGCATATGCACATTTTGAGGTTACTTTTGTCTTTTAAAGAAGTGTTTTTAATGACATTATCAATTTTTTTAATGAAAAAGTAAAAAAAAAAGATTTTGTAAAAACAATATAAAATCCCAACGAATATTAAGAATTTCTAAAACTTCACAGATATTTTATGAAAACACCCAAAAAACCTGTGTGACAGTCAATGTGAACAAGTCTTTAGTAAAGTAGTGGAAGCGCCTACCGTGGCTAAAGGTGGGCTACGCGGGCCTTGGCTTTTCAGTCGAATTTAGCTGCCAAGACAAGAAACAACTTGCCCCTCCAAGTGTCCCAATCTCCACAGACAAGATATTTCATCTCACTTATCCATCCAGTTAAAGCCCACTTATCCTGACTAAAGTCAAACACGATCGCAAGCCTCAAAATGTTCAAAAAGTCCAACGTCAACTCAAATAAAAAAATATTTAAAAACAAATTGGCCTTCTCGCAATCAAAATCTGCCACGTTATTAACCCAAAGTAAAACCCTACGCGGCAAAAAAAAAAAAAAAGAAAAAAGAAAAAAAAAACCCTAGTTACCGACTTAAAAACCCAAAAGGCCCAAACTCTCAATTCTTAAACTGCAGATCCCCCATCGATTTTTTTTTTTTACCATTTTCACTTACCGAGCTCTCCACAAATTCACCTTCTTCTTCCCCCCAGGAAATCTCTCTGCTGTAGTAGAACTGTAAAATCTGGAAGACCCCATGCTCGAAAATTCAAAGTTACCGGAAAATCCAAGCACCGCCACAAGCAATGATAAGCTTTCTGCAAATGACAATTAATTTCAAAAATTAGATAGCATATGCACATTTTGAGGTTACTTTTGTCTTTTAAAGAAGTGTTTTTAATGACATTATCAATTTTTTTAATGAAAAAGTAAAAAAAAAAGATTTTGTAAAAACAATATAAAATCCCAACGAATATTAAGAATTTCTAAAACTTCACAGATATTTTATGAAAACACCCAAAAAACCTGTGTGACAGTCAATGTGAACAAGTCTTTAGTAAAGTAGTGGAAGCGCCTACCGTGGCTAAAGGTGGGCTACGCGGGCCTTGGCTTTTCAGTCGAATTTAGCTGCCAAGACAAGAAACAACTTGCCCCTCCAAGTGTCCCAATCTCCACAGACAAGATATTTCATCTCACTTATCCATCCAGTTAAAGCCCACTTATCCTGACTAAAGTCAAACACGATCGCAAGCCTCAAAATGTTCAAAAAGTCCAACGTCAACTCAAATAAAAAAATATTTAAAAACAAATTGGCCTTCTCGCAATCAAAATCTGCCACGTTATTAACCCAAAGTAAAACCCTACGCGGCAAAAAAAAAAAAAAAGAAAAAAGAAAAAAAAAACCCTAGTTACCGACTTAAAAACCCAAAAGGCCCAAACTCTCAATTCTTAAACTGCAGATCCCCCATCGATTTTTTTTTTTTACCATTTTCACTTACCGAGCTCTCCACAAATTCACCTTCTTCTTCCCCCCAGGAAATCTCTCTGCTGTAGTAGAACTGTAAAATCTGGAAGACCCCATGCTCGAAAATTCAAAGTTACCGGAAAATCCAAGCACCGCCACAAGCAACCAGAATAATGAGGAGGTTGCTGGCGGCGGTGAGCCAGCCTCGGTTGGGTTTGAAGAGGAAGATAGGGCGGGACTTGAAGAGGGTTACCGGAACTGGGCCGGTAATCGGTGGCCTCGCCAAGAGACTTTGGCTTTGCTGAAGATAAGGTCAGATATGGATGCTGAGTTCAAGGAAGCAAGTATTAAGGTTCCTCTTTGGCAAGAGGTGTCCAGGTGAGTTTGCTTTCTCTTATTGACTTGGATTTATGCTTTCTCGGGAAAATCTGCCAGGAAAATGTTTATTTGTTTCCCCAGAAAATGAAGCTAAATTCAATTGCTTATATCTTGTTTCCTCATAACATTACCACTCGATTAAGTTAATGGGTTGTCAAGAAAATTATTATCTTTTAAGCTATTATTTACTCTTTTAGCAATTGGTAAGATGGAATATTTGGGATTGTGTTATTAGGAAAATGGGAGAGCTTGGACATAATAGGACCGGCAAGAAATGCAAGGAGAAATTTGAGAACATATACAAGTACCACAGAAGAACTAAAGAATCTGGTCGACCCAATGGCAAGGCTTACAGGTTTTTTGAGCAATTAGAGGCTCTAGACCACCACGATTTTGAACTTCCTCCTCCTCCTGCTTCTGAAAAAGTTCAAACTTCAGTAGCAGAAATAGCAACAAACCCAACAAATGTTGTTTACAACGCAATCCCATGTTCTATTCAACATCCGGATTCGAGTTTTGTTGAAAACTCTAGTTCTACCACATCGTCCTCGAGCAAAGAATCTGAAGGCACCCATAAGAAAAAGAGGAGATTAACTGAGTTCTTTGAGAGGATGATGAATGAAGTGATAGACAAGCAAGAGAATTTACAGAAGAAGTTTGTAGAGGTATTGGAGAAGCATGAACAAGATCGAATAACAAGGGAAGAGGCATGGAAGATGCAAGAATTGGCTAGAATTAAGAGAGAAAGAGAGATACTAGTTCAAGAGAGGTCGGTTGCAGCTGCAAAGGATGCTGCTGTTCTTGCATTTCTGCAGAAGTTTTCAGAACAATCAGGCACAATGCAATTTCCAGAACAAGCATTTTCAGTGCATTTCCCAGCACAACCACCGTCATCAATGCAATTTCCAGAGCAACCGTCCCCAGTGCAACTTCCGGAGCAACCACCATCAGGACAATTTCCAGAGCAATCAACTCCAGTGCAATTGCCTGTTAACTCACAAGCCGACACATTTATGGACAAGCAAGAAAAGACAAATGATGCAAATGTTGTGCATATGAGTTTGGATAAGCAAGAAAGGAATAATGGTAGAAGTTATATGCATATGAGCTCTTCACGGTGGCCTAAAGAGGAAGTTGAAGCTTTGATTAAGATCAGAGCTGATTTTGATTTGCAGTATCAAGAAAGTGGACCTAAAGGGCCTCTGTGGGAGGAGATTTCAGCAGCCATGGTAAAGCTTGGTTATGACCGGAGCGCCAAGAGGTGCAAAGAGAAGTGGGAGAACATAAACAAATACTATAGGAGAATAAAAGAAAGCAACAAAAAAAGGCCTGAGGATTCAAAGACATGTGGTTATGTTCGCCTGCTGGATGCTTTGCACAATAAGAAGACTCATAGCATTGAGAGTCAAGTTAACTCTACTTATGAATTGAAGCCTGAGGAGCTATTGATGCATATGATGGGTGGGCAAGCAGAGCAGCATCAGCCGGAAACAGTGACTGAGGACGGTGATAGCGAGAATGTTGATCAGATTCAAGGAGATGATGAAAATGCAGATGGAGATGGATATCAAATTGCATCCGGTAATCCTTCTTCAATGGAAATTATGAGCTGAGGTTCACAAACATAAGAAGTCCTTCCTGAAAGCTTAAGTTGGTGTGCGTAATGTTAGAAGTGAGTTGGGGAATGTTGTGGCTACGGCAGCGTTGTGGGTTAGATTTTGGTTTTGAGAACTTTGTTTTAGTGTTGGTGTAAGATGGTGTCTACAAACATATCTTGAGATTTATCATATGTTGAATCATGAGAGAGAGAGAGAGAGAGAGAGAGAGAGAGAGAGAGAGAGAGAGAGGGGGGGGTGTAAATTAGTATGGCTTTGGTCCTGTTCAATCCCCATGTTTGCAGAAGTTGGAAATGGTTGGCTTGATTTGAATTAATAAAGACCTGCACCAGTGGTCCTGTTACAATGAATAGCTCCATTTCTTTTTTAAATCTAAGAAAGTGGTTATTATTATCACTCGTGGGCAATCAATCTATTCAACTTCAAGCAATCGCCTTGCCATAATATCACCTGTTGTCTTCAGACCAAAAAAAAAAAAAATCACCTGTTGTCGATGCAATGACTTTAAGTATGGATTAAAATTTAATCATCCTCCTTAAGTTTTAACTCAATCATTATTGTCCGAATTCAATCATTCTTTTTTGTTTGTCTCCCATGGATTTAAATCTAAAAATAAAATAATAACGCTCATGTTAGTCAAAGTGAACAGTAGTTAGTGTTTTGCTTTTGTCTTTAACAGTGGTTAGTTTTCTTACGTTTGAAGTTGGTTATATGTGTCTTTTTCTGTCCTAAAGTATAATTTAGTAAATTTATTATGCTCGAAATGTAAAATAGTTGGAGTAGCTATAATCAATCATTGTTGAACTACAGAGCACAAACTAATCCTTCACGTTGATGTCATAATCTCTGCTTTTGACACTTTCAATCATGATTATTATGATTTTAATATTAAGACTGTTGACGCAGAAAAATGGTTCTGCACTTCCCCGCGTAACTGAGTGATTTTGTTACCTTCGGTATGCTATGGCCTCGGTAGTATGTTATACCTGTAAGATAGCAAACGCTCGGTAAGTCCTAGGTACCAGTGTGGTACCGGCCGAAGGCTCTTCGATGCTTAAGTAAGTACCGATTTAGTAAGTTTGAACTACAAATCAATATGCAATATGCCGTTAGTTCTGATTGATTACCTCCAAGCTGGGATAGTTGTCCTCTTTTATAGGCCTTGGGAGGTGTGCATTTTGTTAGAGTTTCGATGTGGGACTGTGGACATTGATTGTGAGACTGCCACGTGTCCCAGGTGGTAAGGTTGCCCTAATAGAGCGATCGGTAGATAAGATGCCGAAGCTAGATGCCGAAGGCTCCCATAGCTCCAGCTTGGTCCACGTGTGAAATGTTCATTGGCTGCTCATTTTGGTATAAACAGGAGTCCCCCAAGTCCTCTTGCGAGAATTCTCGGAAGGTGATTTGATGTTGTCCTCCGAAGGGAGCGTTGCCCTACCGTTCGGAAGACCCATTTAATGGAAGGGCTCAACTCTGACCCTTTCGTTCTCGCCCGTTCAGAAGCTGACATTAGGGTAGCCAGAATGTCGCATCGAGGAGTCAGGCGAAGGGACGTCTGAGCGTTTCGACTTCCGCGCCTCGCGTGCCGTCAGTTCCCCATAGGATGAGTGACACGTGGTGGAAGCAATGATGGCGCGCGGCGCATTAATGCACCGTTTGGTTTCTCGAGGTGTACCGTTGCGAACCCTCGTCCTATAAATAGGAGTGACCCCGGGAGGAGACTCACTTTGCACTTAGTGAAAAGCGAGAGCTCTGTTGAGACGATTTCCGACGATAGCTTCCGGTATTCAAAGCGATTTCCGACGATAGCTTCTGGTATTCAAAGCGATTTCCAACGGGCGCTAACGGCAATCAGGCGATTTCCGGCACTACAAACGGTAGGAAGGGCGATTTGTGTCCAGACGATCTGAAGCACAGTGCGCTCATTTTTCAGAAGCTAAACTAAGGTACCGTTCGGCACCTCCTTTATTTCTTTGCATACCTTAAGGGTTACGTCATTCCTTGGTTTGAACTAGACTGACCATAGTGTTCCATTCGGTAGTCTAGTCGCCATAGGTAGTGATGTAGGGATTGGTAGGATAGCATGCGGTATGAACCTTAGTTTCCTTTCTTCCCTGTTTTTGTAGATGTCCGATAGCGAGTCATTCTCCGAGCGTGAGCCCAACGCGTTCGATGAGGAGTCATCGGACGGTCTCTTTGACTCCGATGTTGAAGCGGCAGGCCTGATGCCGAGGATGGAAGTGATACCGATGTCGAAATACTCGGCGAAGGGCCCAGCTCTGTCCCGCCACATGGCATCGGAAAGGGGCTAATGACCGCCCCGGTGCCGTTGTCTATTATCTATAGCGACGGCCGCCAGTCAGAGGCCTCCACTTCCGGTTGTGGAGAGTCAACTGCCGAACCATCTCCCCGACCGAGGGTTTCGGTAGTCTACCCTAGCAATCCTAGGGTGCCGATGGCTGTTCCGAAGGAGCTAGTCTTCAGCGTAGATTACTTGGAGCCTAACAGGATCACCGAGAGGGAGATTGCGAGGTTTCGGGCTGAGTACCTTATACCAGAATTGGTAGGCATGAGGATCCCAGGTCCTACCGAATCTCTAAGCAGTCCGAAAGATGGCGAAGTCGTCTTCTTCACGGACATACTTCTGCAAGGGGTGAGGCTCCCCCTGCAGCCCGCCGTTCAGAGGATCCTGGCGCAGATAGGCTACGCTCCCGGCCAGTTCAATCCCAACTTCTGGGTGGTGCTAATGGGTGTGATCACAGCCTTCGGCATGGCTGGCGAGGGAGAGCCTTCGTACGAGCAGTTCTCCCATCTGTACAGCGTCACGAAGTCGAAGTTTGCCGATCATGGGGGCTGGGTTCAAGCAAACTGTTTAAAGGCTACCGAGCGTGGCCATTTTGTCAATGCCGTGCCAACCTCCCAGAAAACGTGGAGGAAACGGCGGGTGCTTTTGTCTGGTGACTGGGAGTCGCCCTGGGGACACCCCGTCCGTTTCCATATTCCCACCACGTTCCAAATTGCCGGTAGGTCATCCTACCGTTCGGTAGGACTCCTAGATTGTGTCATCCTTCGGTAATATTAATTCCGTTTCCCTTTTGTGCAGGTAAATTGAAGCAGCCGAGCGCTACTCAATCGGAGATCCGGCAGATCGAGAGGGTGAGGCTGAAGGTCCCTGCCGTGGAGAGGGTCTATCCGAAGTTTCTCTTCACCACCAATCTCATCAAAGCTCAGCTCGTCAGCCCTGCCGAGAGTAAGCATACTTGACCATTTTGATAGTTTATGACGTAGATGAGAAATCTGACCGGTTTCGTCTTGCAGTGACCGAAGAGAGGAAAACTGCAGAGGCAAAGAGGATGAACGAGTCCTCAAAAAGGCGTCTCATGCTCGGCATGCAGGGGAAGAAAAAGGCACGGCGGGCTAGAACGGCTCCGGCGTGTTCGGGAGGGGTGGACCCTGATGACCTAACCCTCAACGAGCGCCTTCGTTAGATGAATGCCGAATCGGTGCATGCCGAAGCTGCCGACGCTGGTCCGTCTCCCAGCCGAGGTATGCCTGCCGAGGGTACCTCCTCTATTGTTGCCGGCAAAAGGCCGGTCACGGTAGACCTTGATGCCGACCCCGCTCCGAAACGCGGGCGACAGGCCGAGCCCGTTTGGGCCATCTTCTCTGCCGAGGACGACGAGGCGCCTCCCGAAGCTGTCACCCTTGCCTGTCCTTTGAAGACGGTCCAGTTTGTGAACCACATGATCCTCGGTTCACAAATGGAGCTGTCCGAGATCGAGGACCTTCCGAAGAAGCTCCTTCGGGAGGAGGCTGGCCGCGCCTTCCGTCTTCAAGCTTCGGTAAGTGCCTTACGTTTTTAGCAATTTCCTGCCGTCTACTGCCCTTTTCGTCTACCGTTTTCTTTTGCTGTTCAGGCCTCAATGGATATGTGGCTGTGCGTCAAGCGAGCCATTAATGCCGCCGAAAAGGCGAAGAAGGCATATGAAGACGGCAAAGCGAAGGTTGCCGAAGCTGGCAAAGCCATCCAAGCTCAGGCAAACTTGGTGAAGGACATGCAGGCTGCCGAATGGCAGGTAAAGGTTTATCAAGCCAAGATCGGTGAGCTGTCGGCAGCGTTGGAGTCGGCGCAGCTAGCGGCGAAGGAGGCTCGGGAATTGAAAGAGGCGATCCAGGTGGCCTTTGAGGAGTCCGAGCGGGTCAGGGCTTCCGAGATCGGGGCTGCCGTCCAGGAGGCGATAGGGCGGTACCGTCGGTCAAGTGAGTTTTCTGCCTTGCTTGACAAGGAAGTAGGCCTGGAAATGGCGGACTTGGTCTACCGTTTCAAACGGTACAACCCCGGGAAGAAGCTCAACCTCAACTTCATTGCCGATCCTCCCCCCCTTCCTGAAGGCATAACCGAAGAAATGGTTGAGGAGTACGGGGGAGAGGACGCCACAGGGGAGGTCCCAGCCGATCCCGAAGGGGGTACTGTCGAAGGCGATGGGGTTGCTGCTGAAGCCGATGAAGCCGCCGCCTGACAGAAGGCCTCGTACGCTCTGCAATGATACTCAAAGGTATAGTCGTATCTCGAACGGCAGGGCGACAATCTTCTCCAGAAGCTTCTTCTCTTATGTAACTTAATGCCGAGGGCATTTTTAATGTAATTTTGATGTAATCTTGATGCCGTGGGCATTTCTTAATGTAACCTTAATGCCGTGAGCATCTTTTTAATTGAAAGTTTCTCCCTTTATTTTATTTTCGAACTTAAGTTGATTTGCAATCAGTAATACATTAAGGAAAAAATCCCTTCATAACTGCCGAGGGCTAAATAGAAGTTGGAGAATAACGGTCGTACTTGCTGAAGGCTAAGCGACAGCTATGAATGCCGAAGGCTAATCAAAGCTTAAACTTGATCCTCAGACATATAGGTAATTTAAGACAATCCTTTTCAAGTTGTCCTTCAGTCAGTAGGTTAAGTGATGTTAATATGCGTAGTTTTAATGCGACCGAGGGTCCCTACCGTACCTTTTTTTAAAACGAAAAGAGCTTAAAGGGTACAACAAAGGTTTTGAATATATGGGCCGAAGGCCCTTTTCATTGATAAACTGCTGAAGGCAAAGATACAATATGGAGTGCGTTTTACAATTACAAACCCGCCGTAGGCTAGGGGACGCTACACTGCCGAAGGCTGTGAATACAGAGAAGCCAAGGGCTTTTGGGACTCTATTGCAATCCTGCCGTAGGCTAAGTGACTTCATTTAAAATAATATTTCAAATGCTCTACGTTCCAAGGGTGACCGAGGGTCTTTCTGTTGGAGTCCCTGAGTCGATAAGTCCCCGATCGTTGGATACCGATGATTTCGTATGGTCCTTCCCAGGATGGTCCGAGGGTTCCTTCCGTAGGATTCTTGGTTGCCAACGAGACTTGTCGCATGACCTAGTCTCCGATTCTGAAAGAGCGGGATCTGACCCTAGAATCATAGTACCGAGAGACGCGTTGTTTGTAAGCCTCGTTCCGAAGGTTGGCTTGTGCTTGGCGTTCTTCGAGCAGGTCGAGGCTTAAGGCGAGCGCCTCCTCATTCGCTTTTGGTGCGAAAGCTTCCGTTCGATAGGAAGGCTCTCCGATTTCTACTGGGACTACCGCTTCCGAGCCAAAAGCCATGGAGAACGGTGTTTCACCAATTGCCGTTCAGTAGGATGTCCGGATGGCCCATAACGCTTCTGGAAGTTTTTCCGGCCAGGCTCCCTTGGCTTTGTCGAGCTGCCGTTTCAATAGCTTATTGACAATTTTATTCATTGCCTCGACTTGGCCGTTTGATTGGGGGTGAGCTGGCGAAGCAAAGAACAGGTTGATCTTGAGTCGGACGCAGAACTCCCTGAGGACTTCCGAATCGAACTGCCTGCCGTTATCCGTGACGATGGCGTAGGGGATGTCGAATCGGCAACAAATGTTCGTCCAGACGAAATCTTCAATTCTGGCTGCCGTTATCGTTGCTAAGGCTTTGGCTTCTACCCATTTGGTGAAGTAGTCCACGGCAACCACAACATATTTGACCTGACCCTTGCCTTCCGGCATCGGACCAATTAAATCTAACCCCCATTGGGCGAATGGCCATGGACTTACGATCGGTGAAAGTGGTTCGGCAGGGATATGAGGGACACTACCGAACCGTTGGCATTTGTCACACTTCTTGACTAATATGCTCGCATCTTGGTGCAGAGTCGGCCAGAAATATCCCTGTCGGAAGACCTTATGTGCGAGTGATCGGCGATTGGGATCCCGAATGATCACCGCAGACTCCGCTGTGGACCTCCCAAAGGATGTAGTCCCCCTGTTCCTTGGTTAGGCATTTTAGATACGGCGTCGTATAGCCTCGTTTGTACAGAATATCGTTGATGACCGTGTATCTTGCCGATCGGTAACGGAGTTTCCTGGCTTGGCACTTATCGGTAGGGAGGGTTCCGTTTGCTAGGAAATCATAGATTGGAGACATCCATGTATCCTCGTACCGAACGGTACATACCTCAGCAGCTGTCGTGCTTGGTTGGGATAATATCTCCACCGGTACCTTCCTTCCGATCTTGTCATTTATCGCCGAAGCCAAATGCGAGAGCGCATCGGCGTGGCTGTTTTCTGACATGGGGATCTGCCGTATTTCGTAGGCCTGGAATTTTTTCAGTAGTTGGTGAGCTGTCGATAGGTAGGCTAACATAGAGGCATCCTTCGCTACGAAGTCTGCCATTATCTGATTCACTATGAGCTGGGAGTCACTGTGAATGCTGATTTGTTTCGCGCTCATGCTCTCGGCTAGTCGAAAGTTGAATCGGAGGGCATACTCTGCCTCGTTATTGGAGGTCCGAAAGTTGAATCGGAGGGCATACTCAACTTTGCCACCGTCCGGAGTGGTTAACACCAAGCCGGCACCACAGCCTTGCTGGTTTGCCGAGCCGTCCACATGCAGAATCGAGAGAGGAACGGAAGTGTCGAAGCGCTCGGCGTCCGTTCTCTCTGACGCAGTGAGGATAACGCTCGGAAAGGGTGATTCCGATAGCGCAGGTGTGAGCTCAGAGATGAAGTCGGCGACGGCCAGACCTCTTTCTGTAGGCCTTGGCTTGAACTGTATGTCAAACCCCCCCAACTCGATTGCCCATTTGACCAATTGGCCCGACGTTTCTGGCTTTTGGAGTACCTGCCAAAGGGGCTGGTTTGTTAGAACAGTGATCTCGTGCGCCTGGAAGTATGGGCGAAGCCTTCGTGCCGAGACGACCAGGGCCAGTGCTAACTGCTCTAAGGGTGGGTACCGAAGCTTTGCGCTTTGGAGTTCCTTGCTGACATAGAAAATTTGTGGCTCTGCTTTCTCCGGCTTCCGTATCAATACCGAGCTAACGGCAGTGTTTGATACTGAAAGGTATAGGAGTAGCACTTCTCCTGGGAGCGGTTTCGATAGCAGCGGTGCCTGGCTCATTTAGTTTTTCAAGTTTTGAAATGCCTGGTCGCATTCGGGAGTCCATGCGATGTGATGTTTGCCCCCTTTCAAAGCTTTGAAGAATGGCACGCACTTGTTGGTGGCCTTAGAGATGAAGCGTGTCAGGGCGGCGACACATCTGGTAAGGCTTTGAATGTCCTTCTGTGTCTTCGGCGTTTCCATGTCTATTATGGCTTTGATTTTCTCGGGATTAGCCTCAATTCCCCTTTGGCTGATCATGAATCCAAGAAATTTACCGGAAGATACACCGAAAGCGCACTTTGTTGGGTTCAGCCTCATTCGGTAGTCCTTTAGTATACCGAACATGAGGGCCAGGTTTTCCAGATGCCCCTCTGCCGTTCGGCTTTTCACCAACATGTCCTCAACATACACCTCCATGATGCCGCCGATGTGCTTGGCAAAAATCCGATTGACGAGCCGTTGATAAGTTGCTCCCGCGTTTTTCAGGCCGAAGGGCATGACGTTGTAACAGTACAAACCGCGGTCGGTGATGAATGCTGTATGCTCTCTATCAGCAGGGTCCATAAACATCTGGTTGTATCCTAAGTAGGCGTCCATGAAGCTCAGCAGCTCGTGTCCAGCGGTAGCGTCGACGAGCTGGTCGATTCTCGGCAAGGGGAAACTGTCCTTCGGACAAGCCTTATTCAGGTCGGTATAATCCTGACACATCCGCCACCCTCCTTTGGCCTTCCGAACCATGACAGAGTTGGCAAGCCAGACAGGGTACGTAGCTTCCCTGATAAAGCCGATGGCTTTAAGCTTGTCAACCTCGGCACGCATCGCCTCATACCATTTAGCATCATATGAGCGGCGCTTCTGTCTGACCGGTTTGTGGGCGGTGGAGATGCTGAGCTTGTGGCTGATGACATCAGGTGATATGCCGGGCATATCGTCATAAGACCAGGCGAAGACCTCTGCCTGTTGCCGTAAGAAGTCGATGAACTGTCTTCGGAGCTCAAGATCTAGGCCGGTGCCGATTTTTACCCACCGATTGGGAAAATCCTCGTTCAAGACCACGGTCTCGAGCTCTTCGGTAGGTTGTGGTACCGGCGCTGGCGCTTCCTCCCTGGGGTCATCAATGGGCCCGCTACCGTTCGGTAGTTCTTGCACGGTCATGGCTTCCATCGGCGGCTTACAAGCTACCGACTTAAGGGCTGTGGCATAGCACGTTCGTGCGCTGAGCTGGTCACCCCGGATGACCCCCGTGCCATTGCGTGTATGGAATTTCATCAGCAACATGTGGGGGGATAACTGGGCTTTGATCCTGGTGAGTGCCGTGCGCCCTATGATGACGTTGTACGCCGTTGGGGAGTCGACAATGAGGAACTAGTCGTAGGTCATTGTTTTCCTGGGGGCGACGCCGAAGGCGATGGGCAGACTGATACTGCTGACTGGTTGGACCAGATCCCCAGAAAAATTGAGGAGGGGCGAAATTTGCCGATTGACCATGCTGTCGGCAATTCCCAATCCCTTGAACACATCGGCAAAAATCACGTTCACCGAACTCCTGGTGTCGATTAGCACCCGACCTACATCGTAGTCGGCGATCTCGGCCCGAATAATCATTGGGTCATCGTGGGGGTAAATGATCCCTTCCCCTTCTTCTTCGCTGAATGTGATGGGCTCACACCCCACCTTCGGGACCTTACAGCACCGATCGTCCTCTATACCAAAGACCTGGGGGTAGTGAGCGGCACGCACATACTATTTCATTGAACGGTTGGAGGGTCCCGCCAGTGTGGGCCTCCGCTGATGGTGTTGATCATGTTGATCTGCCGATTCGCGTTCGGTGCTGGGGCCTGTGGTGGCCTGGCGATGTAATGATCTAGCTTTCCTTCCTGAATCAGGCGCTCAACGATCTTCCTCAGACTGATGCAGTCTT